TAGATGATCTCCAGAGGTCCCTTCCAACCCTGACCATTCTGTGATTCTGTGATTCTGTGTTATAAGACCCGCTTGTGTCCAAATAAGGGTGAGGGCAATTTTTTCCTAGTATCATTCTTATTTGCCTTCCCAAAGGAAGATTTCACCTTTTCATCTTCCTTAGTAAAAATAATCTTCATGCATACTGATGTATATAAACTACTATTTCCTCTTAGATCTTCCCTTGAAGAATTTTCATTGGTCTTTTGATTTCACACAGGACAGTAACAAGGCTAATCCACCTCCACTTTCCACAGAGTACCATAGCCCAACACCAGTCCAGGCTGTTTTATGATGAGGTTTTGTAAAAGCTACACCATCCATACACCTGTTCAGAAGAAGCAGAGACTGACAACAGTTAAGGTCTTACAAGGGAACTTCCATGTCTGTGACTGACAACAAGCAGAGACACAGACCCTCTGGAGCAGCAGCCCACAAAACAAGCATCCCAACCTCTGTTCACTCCCCAGGACAGTAATGACGGGATGACTTTCTCCGGACTTTTCTACTTATTTAACCATTCTTCTTTTGCCCAATCAAGACACAATTTAGTTTGTAAAGTGAAGGACACAATAAAAGACGTCTGTTCACCTGTTTACCATATGTAATGAATGCATGTAAAAATGGCTGTATTTTAGCTCTACTTAATTTGTTTCATGACTCCCTTGTTGATAGTCCAGAACCTCCACTTCAGTGCAGCTGCTCCACACTGAATATTACTAGAGATGTAATAAGGATCTTGAAGGATTACCCCGGGAGAGCATCCCAAGTTACCACTCAGAAGCACAGAAAATCTTAAGGATTCAGCCTCTTCTATCTCTGACTGAAGCACATCATAGGTCAATCCAATTATTGTTTCTACATTTTTTATCAACCGTGATGAAAAAAATCCTCAAAATTCAAGACTGGAGTTACCCTTTTTCAGTATCCAGACTCAGCAGAGATGATTTGGAGAGCAACACAAAAGCTCTGCATTGCCTCTGTACCCATGGCCTGATCTGGACTGTGGAAAGATCAACCAAATCCAGCCCAGCGTCATGAGTATTTCACCAGTTGGCAGTAGTAGCAGTAAACCTATACAATTTCAATATATAAAGCTATAGAATTTGTGCAAGGGAATAAATTATTTTTAATGTCAGGCAGAATTAATAAGTGGAAGCGACAGAACTCTTCAGTCAGGTAATAGGTATCAAATATGTAACTTCTCGGCACTTAAGCTACAGGCCAACCAACAGAGCTTGATCTCAAGATAATGAAAAGGCACTGAAGCTAAAGAAGGCACTTGAGTAACACCTAACATGGTCAGACAGCCAAAGCTTTATAGTCCAAGCTACCATGACCTAGTAAACACATTTATATTCCTTAGAGAGAAGTCTCAGAAACTGACAGTGCTTTTATTGTTACGGTTTCAAAAACTACAGGAAGGTATTTGTCTCCTGACAGACAATATTACATTGAGTTTCCCATTATGAAATAAATGAGAGCCATGAAAAAAACTAATTTTGAAAATAAGCAATTGATACCGGTGAGAACAGTTTTCATTAACTTATTTTTAAAATTGAGTTAAGAAATACAAAGATCATGTCAGTGGAATTTGAGGCCTATAGGTAGAATAATGACTTTGTCCTGCTTCAGACTTAACTTTAGTAGACAAGAATATCACTAGATCAGGGCTATATTAAACACTGTAGCTACCAGAAATACTTCTAGAAAATCATTCAAAAGATGCAGTATTTGAATGCGTGCAAACACACACACAATTGAAAAGCTTTCCTCTAAAGAAATAACAGATCTGTGCACAAGATCGTAACTATATACACCAAACCTCCATGTTTAATACTTGTGAAAGAAACAGCTAATAGTCATGAGCATGGCCAATGCTCTATCTGTTCAAAAGAAAAAATGAGCTCTTAGAATTTTCCATAGTTTTGACTTTTAAGCTAGTTTTTTTTTTTTTTTTTTTTTTGCTGAGCAATAATTGAGATTTTCTTTATCAAACCACTGTTAAAATTAACACTGTAGGCAAAAACATATTTAGTTTGGAAATTCATATTATTTTACTGAAGTACAGACTTCCACTAGGGATGTACATGCAACAAGGTCAGAAATTTGTGCTCAGGGACCATGTTATGCCAGGGAGAGGAAGAGAAATGGAGAAGAGGAAAGAACATAAACAAGACAAGAAAAGGAGTTCAGGAAGCTGCTGAAATTTTGTCTTAGCTCCAGGACTGGGCATAACACTTGTTGTGTTCTTAATACCTTCACATTTTATGGGTAATATTCTGAAAAACCTGGTGATGGGGATGCAAATTACATCTCACTGAGGCAGATCACCCCTCTAGAGAATAGAAGGCAAACCTTCACTGTGCTGTGTGCAAGAATAAAGCAGCTTTAATTCAACGCTTCCATTCAGCTCTGAGGGGAAGAGCTGAATGAGTGCTCTTACCAGATCCTCTTAACAATCTGCTTTCCAGGACTATCTAATGCTTGTCCTCCTTTAGAAGATCTCTTTTTATAATTTATGAAGTGATAATTTTCATTATCGAAATCTTATTTCCCCTTTCCTCCTCCTAAATTTCCACCGAAGGGTCCTCAAAGCCTGAGTCCACCCATGGGTATAATGCCCAATTCTGGAAATTTACACGTAAAAAGAAAAAGTGGAGACATGTTAACAACAAAACAAGGCTGTTGTTTGTTGTTTGTTTTTTTTTTTAAATATGGTACAGTAAAAACAACATGCTCAACTGAACTTTTTCAACCTTTGTTTAAGAAAAAAATCCAATGAAAATATTTCATTTTGGATACATGTAAGAAAAGTAATGGAAAATTTAGAGTAAGTAAGAGGAAAAAATAGGAAGAGGAGAACCATACAGCCCTTTTACCTACAAGGCACTCTCCACGAATGCAAGGATACAGGTACACTTCCCATCTCAGCATAAGAACTGAGCACAGCAGTGTGTGTTAAATACCCCACTCAGAAATATTCTGGAATGCTTTGCTCTCGGTCTGCTTTGTTAATGTCACATACTTGGAATAAATAATTAAATTTCAATGGAACTGGGGCTACAACCAAGGTTTTCTACTTCTCTAATGACTTAACTATTCTGCCCTGCAGGGTAAATTTCTCACTGTAAGTTTTATGAAGCTATCTAACACACATTCCCATAATTTTTTCCAGCCAAAACTATTCAGCAAATCTATCCTGAATTCATAAATAGTTTTGCAAGCACCAAAGCTACATCAACCCAGCTAATTTACTGTTTGCTGAACCAAATGGCTGGTGCAACTGTCTCCACAATGTTCCCAGAACTCACTGCCAAAAAGAGGACAGAGCTAAAGCAAGCAGAACCCAGCACCAGTTCTTCACAGGCAACTTTGCTACTTTAACATCACAGTTGTAATTAAGGTAATCAGTTTGGAGCCATTCTACCCACAGACTTTTAATTCTGTAATGAAAAAAAAAAAAAGAAATGCCTCTCCCCTCAACGATAACTGTTACCAAGCCTTCTGTGATAGTAATGCCACAAATAAAAGAAAAAAAATCCTATTAATATACTTTTTGAGTTCTGTCTACAGTTTTAAAATTGTTGTTGCTTCAACAGCTCTCTCGCTCCCTGGACAGTATTATGAGATTCTCATTTAAATCACTCAAAAACTCTGCCTCACCCTGGCTGTGCCAGGGAATGGAGCTACTCATGTTGTGCAATGAAAGTAACTGACATTTGCACGAGTCTTTTCTAGTTCTCCTTGGGGTAAGCACATGGACTTTGTAGCTTTGTCTTTTTTTTTTTTTTTTAATTTTTACTGAAAATCAGAGAATAAATGAGAGAATATAAAAACCTGCACAATCTGAATGAGCACTACTTCTAAACTAAGCCATACTTAACTTTACGGTGCTTTGACATCCCATGTGATTTGTAAATCTTAAGGCAAGTGTACCGCAATAATGAAAATACTAGCAAAAAATATAACAGCAAAAAGAAACAGCAATATCCACTCTCAAATCCTAAACTATCAATGTATCAATAGTAGTAAGAATCTTTTATTCAGTTAGGTCACAACCTGAAAGAACTCAATGGACTATGTATAAAAGGAAAATGTTCTTTAAAAAAATATTCTTTTCCACAAAAAAAGTTCATCTACCATCAAAGAGGCATATTTTGCAACAACTGAGATCTTACTACAATTTGACTTTGGGATAATCACGAAGGGAAATAAAGCATAATAGTTTTTGCAATAAGAATGTTAGACATTCACTGTATTTGTGCAGCAATTAAATAATCAAAGTCTGGAATGAGCTACCAGTTTGATTTTAAAAAATTGAAAGAAAATATGCAATTCTCAGCAAATTAAAAATAATGAAATTCTAACATGCACTACAATAGGTGAATAATCACATAAGAAAAAATAAAATATATATTGATATGAGCCTTAAAAACTCACTAATAAGTTATTTGACAGCATTTTGCTATATATCACAGTAACTTTTCTGTTTCAGGCAAATAGGTATTTTCAGAAACTTACACTATTCCACCTTACATCTACAAATGCATACACATTTTGAAAGAGAATATGTGTGCAGATAAACACACTGACTCATGGATACACGCACCATTTCTGTTATTTATGTAAATTATACATACTGCATGTTCTGCTCCTTTTAATTCCAGTATGCAAATTACACACTATGCCCTCAAAATCTACAACCGTTAAAAAGCAAATATATAGCTTTATCCAGCTGGACATTACAAATATACTAGACACCCTCACAAAGCTTATGTAAATATAGACAAAGACATGCTTGTGTATTCATTTAAAGAACCACAGCTTTTGTATTTTAATTATTCTTGCTAGCAAGAACCGTATAAGGGATTGCACCACCCTTCTGCATGGCATCCTATGTAAATGAGTCCGGTGCATTTATAAATATGGATGTGGCAGACCCCCAAACAACACAGTACCTGCTGTCTATCCAACCGCATCCTTTTTGCAGCATTTCTGCTTTCACTCTCACAGGCGGAAGCCAGGATACTCTCTGCAACTGCTGAAGTAAGGTGTGAGGGAATAGGTCGTGACTATGAGAGAAAAAAGAAACAGAAATTATTTCTAGCATAATCCACGATACCCTTTTTCAAAGCACACAATACCATCGCCTAGGCAGGAAAGTCCGCTCATTGATATGTAGTTTATACCAACAAAACAGAGAAATGGAACTTGTAAAGATGAAAAATGAAACTAGTTAGATGTTAAAGCTGCAGCTGATCCATAGATCCATGAGAAGCCCTTTCCCCCCACAGCTCTATTGTCCGGTGTGTTTAGTCTGGCTCATTAAGCTGTACTTTGAACAGACAGTGGCATATTCTCTGTGTTCCAGCAGCACCCTGGCCGTCTGATTCTTGTTAAGAAAACTGAAAGGCTTTTTATCCTGTACAGCATGTGACAGAGATGAGTAGTGTTTTTTTATAGCCATAAAAAAACAAAACAAAAAACCCCAAGTGATAGGGTTGAAACATCACTCAAAACATAACAGATTGTCAGAACATTTCAGAGCAGTCTCAATCTGTAGTATATGAATATTTGCATTCCTTGCTGCAACACGACTGATGTGATTAAAATGACTTTAAAAAAAGCTGGTTTTCTTTAGATAATGCCAGCCTTCCAATAATGCAGATATTTTGTGGTTCAACGAGATACGGTTCATTTTTTTCCCATTCAAAACCTCCCATTACTAATTTCACAGCATTTACATGTTTTAGGTTAAAGGTGCAATGAATCCCCAGAAAATAAAGGAATGCTAAAATCCGTTGTTGGTTATGAACTCCAACATGGTCTTCCCTACCAGTTCATTAAGAAGAATATTTACACACCTTTTTTTCCTAATTACATGCAAAACAATCTTTCTGAAAGATGAAGCTCACAATAAAACTAACCTTCATTAATATACAAAGACATATCTCTACTACCAAGGAAATAAAGAAAATGGGGATAATAACACAGATACTGATACACATATAAGCCCATTCCAGAGACTGCAATTTATTGAACCGGTTCTGAAATTCCATAAATTTTCAAAGCTTCATTGAACTTAAAAGTACAACGTAAATTTATACCTACCGAGGAACTGGCCGTATGTGTGGGGGGGGTTGGGGTGTTTTTTTGTTTTGTTTGGGATTTTGTTGGTGGTGGGTTTTTGTTTGTTTTAAAGAGTTATGCCTTCTTACTCCTAAAAGCATAAATATGAACCTGCTATGAAATGTCATTGAGTTTTGGAAGCAAGTTTTGAAGTATTCCCATTCAGTTCTTAGACAACCTTAGAACAGATTCATTATATTGGTTCAACTGATTTTACGGTATTCATAACATTCCAGAAACTGAGGAGCCAACCATTACTGATATTACAATTTTACCTTTAAAAATTAAAGTCCATTTATTGCAGAATGCCAATTTTTTTATCTGACACTGTACTTTCTCTAATGCATGGGACCACAGTCTGTCTGTGACCAGAAGCTGACTAGCTTTTAAAAAATAGACCGGGATTCATGGGTCTCCCTCACTAGTGCAATAGGCTTATTTCTCCCCACGCATCCAAGAGCAAGCTCTCTAGCATTAGGGTAACAGCTGTGTTAGACAGACAATCAGAGGCTGCAATACTACAATAAAATATACTTGGATTGATTTTACAGAACAAGGTATTGAACTTCTTTCCAGTTTGCACAACAATGCATTCCCATGCACTTTTGAAAAAAAATCAGTCTATGAGGGAGGGACACTGATGTTAACCCTGGTGTCATTACAGAAGGTAACGGTACAGTACAAGCAGACACCTTCCTCAGAGCTCCAGAGGAGGGAGTAAGTCTTTGCCGAAGGTTTTCACTGACAAAGCATTATAGTTATTATTCTGCCTCCCTAGAGTGGTGATGTTACTCTGAACGCGTTATTGCATCACTATATTTGGTGGCCAAGTATCACTATACATGCCACGGTTGTATGTATGTTCAAGGTACATTGACTACGTTGGCTGAACGGAAGTGGTCCTCTAGCAGTGGCCACACAATAACATCCTTGAAAAAAGGCGAGTAAACATCTGCTTAATCCCTCCAGCTCCTATCTTTAATTAGAGTTATAACCATACCTATACATCAGTGGATTTTTAGACCATTACCATTTTTAGACCAGCCAAAAAATTAATGTTCTGAACAAAAAGTAAAACAAACCCAAGTTCCTCCAGTTTCTTTGTTTATGGGAGAAAACAGGTTTATTGAGGTGTTTTATAAAATAAAAAATAAAGAGTTACCATAAAAATCAAGCAGTCACGTGCTTTTCTCTGAAAAGGAGTGCAATGGTTATGCGTTCATTGTTGAAATATTTCACTCAAAATTAGTACCTGCAAAAATGAGGAAATCTCCAGGTAATGGAGTATCTTCCTCTTGAAATATGTGTTAACCCATAATTTCTCTCAGTCATCACTGTAGCTGGCTGTTGATATGTTCATGTCAAGAACTATCTAGAGTGAACCTTAGGGAGAATGTAATGAATGCACAGTTGAGTCACCTGGGGAATAAAATACTCGAACAAAGCACAGGAGAAAAATCATCCGATTAAGGTTCAGGTTTTATCAGCTTAACTCAGGCAGAGCACGAGCTTGGCATTGACTGAGAAGACGAACACAGTCCTCTGTCACTAGCAGCAGAGCTGTTAAAAAGACTTTCTGTTTCGTGAAATGCCCTATCTGTGAAATGTCAAAAAGATCAATTTTGAAAAGCGTTGCCTAAGAGGAAAAAAATGCTTTGAAATACCACTTTTAAAAAGATGTTTTTAAATAAACTGAATTAATAGTTGCATCTTCTAAGCTCAGAGGCCCCTTCTGGCTTAGCTTAACTTCTTCAACTTCTGTACTGCTGATTATTCATGATCTCTGTCATGACTACCAGCTATAAACCCATGTCTGTAAGGAGCTCAAGCATCCCAGTCCTTGTGGGGTTCTAAACATTTCTCAACTTCCTACCCAAGGGTGAGACACAAAGGCCTTGGGAAACATGGCAAAAGCAACATCATTCAATTCTGCAGAAGGGAGCCTGAAGATCTCAGCCAAACCAACGTCTTCCAGGTTCCCAGGATCCCTTGTGCAGAGCTGAGAGCCGAGTGCTAGCTCCTGCATGTTTGGGACTACAGCAGGAAATGTGGGAGCCAAGGAGCCCTTATTTCCAAGGGCTCTCAGGCTCCCCCCCCAACCCCTGGATCCACAATCTACCCACTGGACTAGGAGGAAACCAGGTTTCATTTTACTGGAGTATGTCAAAACAGAAAACCATTGACAAACTGACATTTCTTAAAGCTAATAAAAAATTTTAAAAAAGGCTTAAAAATTTTTTCTGCCCTGCTTTAATTGGCAGAACGCACCCAGTGTTGTTTGATACATAATGTTCACAGCCCCAGTCTGGTATTTCACTTCACAGTGATGTAAATAACTATACTGGCATTTCTGTTACTACCCATGTGTAAAACAAGAGAAAAGAAGCAAGCCTCTAAACTTCAGTCCACCAAAACAAGCGATTCACATGGCAAAATTAGAAGGCAGGATTACTTTTTTGTTGTTTTGAAACAATGACAGATAGAAAAGAGGCATGTGAAAAATTCATAGTAACTGTCAGGTGAATAGATGAATAAAACTGAGAGGGAATCTGGTAAACAACTTAATACAGACCTTCTGAGAGGGCTATATGCCTCTGTCCATCACACAGCAGCAGTATACAGAATTCCTTCATATTTACTTGGAAACACAATACTCCTTGTGACTGCACTAAAACAGCAGCCACGTTTTGGACGTACGTCGTTCTTTGGTTTTGTACACCTCTTTAGCTGACATGCAACTAACGTTCAGCCTCTAACATGCTGTAGAATGTCCTGGTTTGAGGTAAAGCAGAACCAATTTTCTTTTCAGCCTAAACCACAACATAGGCGAAGAGCATTTTGACAAAAGGTGTAAGGGAAACCTGCTAGATTTCATGTACATGTGGATGCCTTTGTTTTTAACATCTTCTGAAGGGACTGACATTCAGGAAGTAGTTGAAATTCCCTCAGTAGCCCAAAGGAGACCGTCAACTACTTCCAGTCCTCTCATATTTGAAACTGTATTTCAAGGCATTTTAAACCTGGTTTGTGAGACCACCACAGAGCCTGTAGATGACGGTGACGGCAAAGCAACAAGCACACTTAACCACCACACTGGACAGGAACATTTGCATGGTTTTAAGAGAAATAATTTTTTTGCAAATTAATATGAAGACTTTATACACTCACCCCTTATCTCTTTCTGAAGAGTGTACAGATTAGTGACAGATACACTTTTGCAGACTTCTTAATGAAAAATCAAATTAGCTGACACTTCTTTGTAGTCAAATAACTGTTGGTCTGCTTTAAAGAACACCAAAGCTAATGAAGATCTTTCCGTGGCTTTGGTGGTCTTGAGATCTGGTTCTCAACAACCAAAGCGTCTTTCAACAAGCCTTTCTGGAGTTATGGAGTAGTCCTCCAAGGTTTTTGATTTTTTTAATAATTGAAATTAGAAATTCTTGGCCCAGATTCTCTAGAAACTAGCTCTATCAGTATAATCTCTGATTCCTTAACATAAAAGAGATTACCACTTTCAAAATGCTGTAAAATACCCATTTGTAGTACACCAACTGTATACAGTATCATGAGGTATTCTGTTTAAAGCGAGGTACCTTTGCAGTACCTTCATGGGATACATAAAATACCCTTTTTGGCTCATTCACACAATTCCTGTATTTCTATACGGAATCTAAAAAACTGCTATGTTCTAATTTCAAATGTACATTTTTGGTTTAAATCTACCAATTTTTAATATAACAGATGACTTATATTGCAGTCTAAACCACTATGAGCAGTATATTTACCAAAAAGAAGTTTGCAATCCGCTGTACGTGCTTTCCTCCTGTGGTTAGAGATCTGTTGTCTCTAAAGTTACGACCTTGCATTTTTTGTGAGCTCTAGTATTTACTTATAAATAAAAGCCAAAGCTGTCATACCAAAGCTTGATCTAGATACTCTCAGA